AAACATCGTGGACAGAAGGCATGTTGGCAGATGGGACATCGAGCCAGATTATCATTCTCCGTAAGATACGTTCCCAAACAGCCAGGACGTGGGCACCGCACTACGTTGCAACAGCAGGCTATCGTAGACCATCAACTGTGAGAGTGTGGCGAATCCCTTCATCTAGAAGTGAACGGGAGAGACGTTGAAGGTTCCGAAGTTATTAATTAACTCTGACTCGAGCTAATGAGGAAGAATAATTTCGCACACTTTTTATTGGGTTATTAAGAACGTAGTTCACTTTGTGGGTCTCAAATATTATCAGTGTTGTCGACTTAGAAATCCCGAAAGTTTGTAATGCGATGACACAATAAAATATTCCCTCGTTAAGCAATCAATTGTTGGTGCAGACAAATCCGGGATTAAATAACAAATCATGACAAGGGCGAAATTAAGTCTGCTTTAGATCATATTGAATACACGGTGAATGCTTCGGAATGCATTACTGCAGGAGCATTTCCTGGCAGCAAATACCAATAACTGATCCCAACTTGATAGCAAGTAGGGGGAGGGTTCGAAACCACTCCTTATTATTTCTTTCCCTAAAATTAAAAAGCGTTTTACTCACTTCTTATGCTCCAATATATCATTGCAAAGTGCCGAATATTACTGGTAGACGATAGTGAGATGAAAAATAACAAGGCCAGTTTTGTAGTGCTGTGGAGCCGCAATGGCATGGAGGCATGACGGCAGCGGCATTAGCAATCCCATTCTGTAGTCTTGTGCACTTTGCTAAGGCCGTTCAAATCAGCGGTCTCCTAACTCCTCTGCCAACATAAAATGCAGTCTCTAAGAGATATCGTATCGAGGGTAGTTGGAAGCATTCCATTCGTTTGTAGACTTCCAAATGCACAAGTGCAACCAGCACAGGTACCCATGTCTTCAGAGTCAGTGTAGGATAGAAGATCAAATATCAAACGCATTGGAAATGCCACCAGATATGGAGTGCTTCGAGACTTACTCACTTCAGAGACGTAAATTTGTAATATAATCGAGGTGTTCCGTCCGGAATTTTAAAGCGAATCCTGATGTATTTTACACATATTTTTTAGGTATAAAGTATGTAATATGGGAACTGTACACATATATGGCCAAAAAAAATCAGTTTACATGATTTCAATAAAGATATATGATCAAATAGGAACTTACCCCCATGTTGAAGTAAGAGACCCGCCATTGAAGTGTAATAACACTGGCAGATTAGAACTACATGCGACGAGGCAATCCTCATCTCAATTAATTACGCATCATAATGAACAACGTTATGCACAGTTGGACTGTCACGCAAAAACACGCTAGGTGGCATCCGCCACAAAAGACAGGACCAAATGGGACCGCCAAACTACACCACCGTGCCATGCAGCATCAAACGCATTTTCTTCCAGTTCATCTCATGGTCATTCATCAGCAGCATCGTTACAACATGATAATGGATCAATATGAAAAGCCTAAAGAAAAATCAAATTAGCATGAAACATCGATGCAGTGGCATCGGCTCATCTTGTTATTGTTATCGTTGATAGGAGGAAGCCAAAGTGATATCTCAACTTCCTCACACACGAGATTTCCTCTGCTTAAAAAACACAAAAACATGAGATCTAGATATGAAGGCGGGTTCTTGATTTATTGCAAGCAACTCCAACAATAGAAAGGTAGATTTATATTTAAACTCTTTTGCACACAAGAGAAGATCACCTCAGTGTAAACATTTGATTACGATGTAATTATACTGTACAACTCAAAGTACGAGAAAAATGTAAGTCATTGCTGTAGGCACACTGATTCCAATGTCGAGCAGGTTATGCAATATCGCCAAGATGCCTGTTCACATCCTCTCAATAGAAAATATCATATACCTAAAGCACCATTGCCTAAGACCACTCAAGCGATGACAGTCGGCTTAGTCATCTCACCTCAGTTAACTCCACCACTACATTACGGTGCAGACAACAAAACGCACCAGCCATGATGCCATTTGTGATGTGCACAGACAGCGCCTCCCTTAGACACTTAATACATGTCATGTGTTCGCATGCGGTTAACCGAGTGCAGTCTCGACCCATTTTCTCGTCATCCGCACAAATCAGGCATCCTACCTTTTCCTCTCTGAACAACCTCCATCTTTCTACATTGTTGTACTCAATCAGGTGAGCCAAAATATCGTCTCGTATACGACGTGAAGGAACGGCTTCTTCTATGTCGTATGCATATACTCCACTCTCATCTTTCTCCAGGCTGAGAAGCGTACAGATGAGGTTGGATTCTAGAAACTCAAAACACTCCCACAAACATGGCTCTCCAACCTCTCTGGCACTCAGGTAGGTGTTCAACTGGTCTATGATGGATTGGAGACGGTCAGGCATGATCCAGGAGCATTCGAGAGAGAGAACAGGGAT